GCAGACTGAAAGTGTCACTGAATGAGTACATTTGGGGGTTTGTGTGTATGTAAGTAACCATAGACAACAGATAAATGATTCCTTACTTGAAAAGGAAATTTAAGGATTTATTTATTTATTTGAAAATCAGAGTTACACAGAGAGAAGGAGAGGCAGAGAGAGAGGTCTTACATTTACTAGTTCACTCCCCATTTGGCTGCATCAGTCCAAGCTCGGTCAGAGCTCCACTGATCTGGAGCCAGGAGCTTCCTCTGGGTTTCCCCCGCAGGTGCAGGAGCCCAAGGACTTGGGCCATCTTCTGCTGCTTTCCCAGGCCACAGAAGAGAGCTGGATTGGAAGTGGAGCAGCTGGGACTTGAACTGGCGCCCATATGGGCTGCTGGCACCACAAGCAATGGCTTTATCCTCCATGCCACAGTGCCAGCCCTGAAAATAATTTTAAAGTATCATAATACTGTAGATTTATTTAGTTATTTGAAAGGCAGAGAGAGAGAGAGAAATCATCCATCCACTGATTATACTCCCCAAATAACTAACAACCAGATACTAACTAGCAGGGAGCTAGACCAGAAGTGGAGCAAATAGGGGCCAGCGCTGTGGCTCACTTGGTTAATCCTCTGCCTGTGGTGGCGGCATCCCATATGGGCACCGGGTTCTAGTCCTGGTTGCTCCTCTTCCAGTCCAGCTCCCTGCTTTGGCCCAGGAAGGCAGTGGAGGATGGCCCAAGTGCTTGGGCTCCTGCACCTGCATGAGAGACCAGGAGGAAGCACCCGGCTTCTGGCTTCGGATCGGCGCAGCTCCGCCTGTAGCAGCCATTTGGGGGGTGAACCAATGGAAGGAAGACCTTTCTCTCTGTCTCTCTCTCTCTCTCACTGTCTAACTCTGTCAAAAAAAAAAAAAATGGAGCAAATGGGACTTTCACCTATACTCATGGGATGCCAGTATCACAGGCAGTGGCTTAACCTGATGTACCACATTGCCTGCCCCTATACTGTAGGTTTGACCAGACACAAATTACAAAATAGATAATAGGGAAACTAAACTGATGACATGACAGAAAAAGGAAAATTGCAAAATTTGAAGTCAAAGCTAAACCAAAATAGTATCGGTGGTGCAGCAAATTACGTCGCCATTTGGGACACTTAAATCCCATATCAGAGTGTGAGTTTGAGTTCTGGCTTCTCAGCTTCCAATCCAGCTTCCTTGCTAATGCATCTGGGAGGCAGCAGATGACGGCTTCAGTCTTTAGGTCCCTACCACCCATGTAAGGAGACCTGGAAGTAGTTCTGGGATCCTGACTCTAGCCTGGCTCTGCTGTGGCTGTTGTACCATTTGGTCAGTGAACCAGAGGATAGAAGATTCTCTCTCTGGCTTTGTATTTCAAGGAAATGAAAATAAATGCACATGAAAAAGATCTCGTTCTAAAATTCCAGCTAAGTTTGCATGGGCACATGGCTATGGAAACTTGCTGATAATATTTTTCATTAAATACAGAAATAATATTCATATACTCGGATAATATGCCAATTTTTGTTATGGACACCAGATTTAGTTCACCTTAAAATGTATTAAATTATCCCTTGTTTTGTCCTTAAGCTAAAATTACTTCATTTTTGGGTTAGTTTGTAGCTCATCAGCAAGATTTTTTTAGTCCCTTCTAGTCCAGAGGATTCTGTGATTTTAGTGACCTGTCTCAGTAAAAGACAAATTCTTGGTTTGGATAGACCATTTTGTAGTGCTTTCCTTTGAATAATGGTGTAGTTTTATAATGGCTTTTTGATGCTAAACATTTTGGAGATTTTTTTTGCAAAGTAACTTTAAATGTTCCATTTTAAATGTTAATGATTTGATAAAAACATGTGATGCAAAAATTAGGACCTTGGTAATTGCTCACCCTAATTGATCATTACATTATTATTTGACTTTTTTAAACTTCTGAAAAACTTGCTTTAGGAAGTTTTAGGAAAATCACTTTGCCAAAACTTTGGAGAAGTTGCTATCATTAAAGTTTCTCATGCCACACATATAAATCCATTTAATTGGGGGTGGGGAACATTTTTTCAACCATAGGCTATTTGAATATTTGTAACATCATTTGTGTGCCATACAAAATTATCAACTTAAAACTAATTTAGCCTGCTATAGATTTATTGAATTTTGAGTCCCACCTGAGCTTGCCTTGGCAGGCTACACCAAATGATTTCATGGGCCATGAGTTAACCACCTCTACTCTAGATATTGGAAAGCACCCTGTTTGCATAGAAAAGGGAAAAAGTCTCCATGAACCTCAAAGTAGTATAGAGGCGATCTCACATTCATTGTTGGTTATAGCTGATATTTTGCATTTTTGTTTCCTTGCAGTGAGATCACGTACTATAGGTGAACTTTTAGCTCCAGCAGCTCCTTTTGACAAGAAATGTGGTCGTGAGAATTGGACCGTTGCTTTTGCTCCAGATGGTTCATACTTTGCTTGGTCGCAAGGACATCGTACAGTAAAGCTTGTTCCGTGGTCCCAGTGCCTTAGGAACTTGTAAGACTTTTTTATATATATATTCTGTGGAATTTATGGCTTTCTGTTAATATGGGGTAATAAAAACATTTTGATAAAGATTTTCCATTATAATGATGCTGTAACTGTGTTTTAGTCATGAGCTGAATATATTTATTGGAAAATTTTTGTAAGGACTTATCTGGCTTTGTTTATACATTATAGAACATTTTTCAGCTATTTATGTCTCTTTAGGATTTTCTGTGCATTAAAAGGCAGAATAATTGTGCCTAGTGAGTGATTATGTATGTGTGTGTGTGTGCTGTGCCAGAGCACGTGCCCTACAACGTGTGACACTTGTAGATTCAAATTTTACTGGATAACAGTAGTGCATAGGTGATGTAATTATCTGGGGTTGGGTTTGACAATTTGTTGAAAGCTTTTTCTAGTCTTTCCTGCTTTTGGTATCCAGTAGACCTCCATAGGTATGTCATTAATGTCTTTGTTACATATTACTTTAGAAAGTCTGAGAAACTGATCAATATGGTTTGGACTTTTTAAAGGTAATTTTTTGGTATTAGTGTGACAATAAATTACAGGGTTGTTTTTGCTTGTTTACATTTTGCTTTTGGATTAAAATTTGATAGAGTAGTTTTGAGGAAAATTTGGGAGGCGAATAAACTATGAATTGCTTTATTGTTGAGCTTTTTCTCAGCTACTAGACAATTTCTGTTAAAGATCTGCATTGTTTTAGTCCTTTCCTTTTAGTCCAAATACTGACTTTTCCCCTTCCAATCTATGGAATTCTGTAATTTATTACTATTATAACCATGTTGAGGTTATTTTAAGAAACAATAATTTCAATATCCAAATCCAGAGTAAATAATAATTTGGTTGAAATCTTTTCCCCAGTCTCCTGCATGGCACCAAGAATGTTACCAGTTCAAGTAGTTTAAGATTGTCAAGACAAAATAGTGATGGTGGTCAGAAAAACAAACCTCGTGAACATATTATAGACTGTGGAGATATCGTCTGGAGTCTTGCTTTTGGATCTTCAGTTCCTGAAAAACAGAGTCGCTGTGTGAATATAGAATGGCATCGATTCAGATTTGGGCAGGATCAGCTGCTTCTTGCCACAGGGTTAAGCAATGGACGTATCAAAATATGGGATGTATATACAGGTATGGATTTAAAAGCATACCTGATTATTTTATGATGCCGGGCACTATTGATAGACCCTAGAATGTATTTGAGTGTCTTAACTTACTGAAAAGAATCAGTGCCATGAATGTGTTTAATTGGCTGGAATGGCATCATATTCAGCTCATAGTTTTAATAAAGGAAAACAATATAAAATCCACACTGCTTGATGGTTCTTTAGAGACTATTATGTGGAAATGGTATGTCTAGGGAACGTATTTTCTGGCATGTGGTATGTACTGGAATGTAAAGGGTTTTGTGGGGTTTTTTGTTTTATTTTGTTTTTTAGATTTAGATTTAGAGTTAGAGAGAAGCAGAGACAGAGAGAGTTCTTCCATCTGCTGGTTCACTCCCCAAATGGCTGCAACAGCCAGAGCTAAGCCTATCCGAAGCCAGGAACCAGGATCTTCTTTCATGTCTCCCATGTGGATGTGGAGGCCCAAGGACTTGGGCCATCTCTGCTGCTTTCCTAGCACATTAACAGGGATCTGGATTGGAAGTGGAGCAGCTGAGACTCAAACTGGCACCCATATGAAATTCCAGTGCTATAGGCTGGGGCTTTAACCTGCTGCACTACAGTGCCAGTGTAGGGGCTTTTCTTAATACTAAATTAACGGGGGCTGGTGCTGTGGTGCAGCAGGTTAACACCCTGGCCTGAAGTGCCGGCATCCCATATGGGCGCTGGTTTAAGACCCAATGTTCCACTTCCAATCTAGCTCTCTGCTGTGGCCTGGGAAGGCAGTGGAGGATGACTCAAGTCCTTGGGACCCTGCACCCATGTGGGAGACCCAAAGGAGGTTCCTGGCTCCTGGCTTCAGATTGGTGCAGCTCTGGCCTTTGGAGCCAATTGGGGAGTGAACCATCAGATGGAGGACCTCTCTTTGCCTCTCCTCTCTCTCTCTCTCTCTCTCTCTCTCTCTGTGTAACTCTGACTTTCAAATAAATAAATAAATAAATAAATATTAAAAAAAAATACTAAATTAACTTGATCTAGGAATTTGTTACATTTCAGGAATTCCTTGTCAGTTTTTTTGTTAAACTTAGAAAATCTTTAAAAGTAACAAGAATAGCACTAATAAAGTAAATGTCATCTTATACTTGATAAGATAAGGAGATGTCTAATAATTCCTTTTTTTTTTAAAGTGAATAATCTCATTTTTTAAAAGTAAAAACTGATGAAATTAATAATGTCTTTTTTTTTTTTTTTTTTTTCCTTCCATCACATTTAGGAAAGCTCCTCCTTAACTTGGTTGATCATACTGAAGTGGTCAGAGATTTAACTTTTGCTCCAGATGGGAGCTTGATCTTAGTGTCAGCTTCAAGAGACAAAACTCTCAGAGTGTGGGACCTGAAAGATGATGGTATGTCTTTTTTTCCAGACTGTGAAAAAGGATTAGTTTCTTTTTTAATTCTTAAAAAAAATTGGTTTTTAACAGATTCACTAATTCTTAGATTCCATTCCAGGAATATAATGATCTACCTTCCCTCTCCCCCAGGATTAGCTTCTTGATATTATTATTACAAGATATTGGTGCCATCTTGGGCATTTGACTTTAAAAATATAGTATTATCATTTCCTCTTTTAAAAATTTTTAATTCATAGGCATAACTTTTTAAAGATTTATTTGAAAGAGTTATAGGGAGGCAGAGACAGAAAGAGAAGGAGTCTTCCATCCACTGGTTCACTCCCCAAACAGCTGCAACATCTGGAGCTGAGCTGATCTGAAGCCAGGAGCCAGGAGCTTCTTCCACGTCTCCCATGTGGGTGCAGGGGCCCAAAGACTTGGGCCATCTTCCATTGCTTTCCCAGGCACATTAGCAGGGAGCTAGATTGGAAGTGGAGCAGCCAGGGCTTGGATGGGCGCCCATATGAGATGCCTGTACTGCAGGCCAGGACTTGAACCCGCTGTGCCACAGTGCTAGCTCCTCATAGGTACAATTCTAAGAAAGTATCCCTACTTCTCTCAATCCTCCTCCTTCCTTAGTTTCTTTTTATTTTTTCTTTAATTTTTGCAAGAACATAATTTCAATCCACTCTATAATCACAGGCACAAGGCAATAGGAAGACCACAGTTCCACAGGTTTATAAACAAGGACTAAAACCAGCTATCAAATCCCAAGATGTCCATTTTAGTCCTATACATTTTTTTGTAATCTATATTAACTACCACGTGTCAGAGAAAACATAATAGAAGCATAGTTCTGTAATTATGATACACAAGGACTTCGGAGTGGAATGTAGGTTATCAGAATGGATGAAAGATGAAAAGGCATTTTGAAGAAGTCTTTTAAGCTTGCTGTGTTCCAGTCCTTATCTGTAGACTGAGGAGATTGAACTAAAATAATCACTTCTTATAGATGAAAGGTCACAGACCTTTTCTTAAAGGCCTAGATGTTATGCATTTAGACCTGTAGGCATGCTTTCTCTGCCATAGTAACACAGTATTGAGTGGCTAGATTTTGTATGTTAGTATCATTTTCCTTAGAGAAGTAAACAGTTGGTGTGTATATTGCCAGCCCAGTTGCTTTAGTGTATAAAAGTTTCTGATCCTGTGATTATTGCTGTTCTTAGTTTACGGTGTATTAACACAGGTATCTTCTTTGTTCAGGAAACATGATGAAAGTGTTGAGGGGGCATCAGAACTGGGTGTACAGCTGTGCATTCTCGCCTGACTCTTCTATGCTGTGTTCAGTTGGAGCCAGTAAAGCAGTATGTGTCAAAGTTCTTGTCCATTCATTGTGAATTGGAGTATAAAAAATGTGTGCGAAATCATTTTAAATCTCAGCTACCTGTTTAGTCTGTGCTCGGTGTCATGAATATCTTAAATGCTTCATGATGGGGGAGAATTTGCATGAAGAAAATTAAAGAGAGTTATTGATTATAAAATGAGAGGTTGGATTGTTCTTAGAAATAATACTTGTAAAATGAGAGCTATGTCAGATTTGGTTTTGTAAGATATAGCAAAGTTTATGTGCTACAGAAGAGACCTCTAGTTCGTGTGTTAAAACATTCCCTTGCTAATTATTATGTTCTTCTCTGTTGTTCTATTTTTTTTGTCCAGTTTACTGTTTTTAAAGCTATGATTTCTAGCTTGTCCTGGACATTTAACTGAAAAAAGTAACTTAAAAATCCAATAATAGGAATAAAAATAGCACTCATGTATGTCTAGAGTGAATTATAATAGAAATTTTGATATAATCTGTCTTTATGTAGCATATTTATGGACAGCTAAACTTGATTTGTGAGAAGGTTGTGTTTGTTAATGAACTCTATTATTTGTTTACCAGCTCTGAGTTAGTATAAAGGGGCTTTAATAGTGTCAGGTATTTATGAAATGGTTGAAGTCCAAATACATGTGATGATCACAATATACTTTCTTATTGATGGGGGTGGGGTGGGAGGCTAGTTAAAATGCCTTTTATTTAGCCAAGAGGGATATTAGAATGATAGTTACAAATGTTAGAAGTTTAGAACAAGATACTCAGTTTTTAAAAAAATCGTAAGAACAACAAGCTAGATGTTGACATTGCTATTTTAGGCTGTGTGTTTTCCATATGCTTCTTGCTTTCCCTGTCACAGGTGGTGGCAGCAATATTGGTGTGATTGAGGTTATGCTGGCACCACTCGCACACAGGCGCACAATGGTGTTAGCTGGGCAGAAAGAGTGGCATCTCTGGCTACCGGGCTGGGGGCGACCTTTACCATAGGATGAAGTAACCTTGCATTCGGCTGCAAGGTGTACTGTACGTACACAGGTGCTGGTCGATGTCCACTTTCTGCTTTTCTTTCTTTCTTTTTTTCTTTTTTAAAATAATTTCCCCCTCAGTGAAATTCACTGACTCCTCCAAGTAAATTTATCTTCCAGTTCAATGACATATTGGAAGTTTTAAGTGAAAAACAACTTAATGTAAGGTAATTGGCTTTCAAATGGTTTCTCTGAACCATTTTTTGGAATTCTTTAAGATGCTAGAGATATCTTAAATCTTTGATCCAATTTAAAATTTACACTTAACTTTCCTTTGGAAATAATACAGTGTGTCTGTGCAGAAAATGTAGCAAAAAGGACTTTTACTCCAAGAGGAGGAAAGGTTGTCATAAACCTCTGAGCTCACGTTTAATGTAATAGACTGAAGTAAACATTAGAATCCTCCTAGAGCTATTCTGCACAGGCTGACTACTGATCTTTAGATTATAAATCTGAGTGTGACTTTCTTAAGTACTTTAACTATTTTATACTTGAAATGACTAGATTGTGGTCAGTTTGGGAAACAAGATCAGTAAATCTTGATTCATAGAAATGTTATAATTGTTATTTTCATAAAATATCATTTTCATTTTGTAATGTGGTTTAACATCCTTGTTATTTGCCAAAGAAATTTCATTTGGCTGTGAAAATTCTCTTTGCTTGCAGTATCTGTTTCTCTTCCTAGGCTCACGTTGGTGACGCAAGCGTATTGTAAACAAGTGATTATCTCAAAGGGAGATGCCAATGGAGTAACAATTTGTTAACCTTACATTTTCTGTTTGTATATTTTTAAAAAATTTTGTAGTATCTGGAAAAAAAGAGAAGGGGGTTTGTAGTACTTAACCCTGTTTCTGTATATTTTAGTTAACTAGTTTTTGGAATAAATGGATTTCAGTGTAACTTTGTGGTTAAATTGCATTGCCTTTATGTTTAGGCTTACTTTTAAATTAACATTTAACAGAAACATTTGAAATAGAATTTGCATGTCTGCTTTAATTAACTTAAAGACTGATTTTTTTAATCTGTGACACTGAGCATATTCTTTAAATTACTCATAATTTATTACATTTAATTCAGTATAATCTCAATTAAATGTAGCATTGTTAGTTAAAAGATGTGCCATTTTATCCTCTGTGTGTTTAAATGAAGCTATAACCTTTGCCTTTTTATTACAGGTTTTCCTTTGGAATATGGATACATACACCATGATACGGAAACTAGAAGGACATTACCATGATGTTGTAGCTTGTGACTTTTCTCCTGATGGAGCATTGCTGGCTACTGCATCTTACGATACTCGAGTATATATCTGGGATCCATACAATGGAGAAATTCTGATGGAATTTGGGTGGGTTTGGCATAAATTATCTTAGTCTATAATTCATCTCTGGCTGTCATTGTACCTTTTAAGAAGTTATGTGAATGGATTCACTAACATGAAATCTAAAATTGTAGTCTCTCAGTTTGCTATTTAGACCCTTGAAACTTTAGACATAAGTTCTAAAACTAAATTTGGCTTTCTTGACACAGGTCTTGTTATTTAACATAACTCTGTCCAAGTGATAACTTGGAGTTTCATGTCAGGGAAAAATAGTTAAAACCAATGTTGGGCTTTATCTTATTATCTTAAACCACATTGTGAAAAAGGGATTGGAAATTCTTTAATTCAGTCTTTTAAGTTGTATTCATTAAAGCTACATTAAGCCTTTTTCAAAAGCAGATGTACTTTGTACCTGGGTGGTTTTGTTTCTTGAATTACTCTGGTATCTACTGAAAACATGTATTTGCCCTCAGGCACCTGTTTCCCCCTCCTACTCCAATATTTGCTGGAGGAGCAAATGACCGATGGGTACGATCTGTGTCTTTTAGTCATGATGGACTGCATATTGCAAGCCTTGCTGATGATAAGTAAGTGTGTGAATTGTAGCCTGCTTAAAGATTTCCTTTCATGCTTCTGGGTAATGAAAATGCTCTTAGGCCATAAAACCTCTCTGCAGTTAGTTAGGGTTTTAATCTCTCTCTCTCTGCATAAGACCTTTGGCAGTGTTGTTGTGTCTTAAACTGAGTGGTGTCCTTCTAAGTTAAAAATAATGCATGTTGGCCGGCGCCGCGGCTCACTAGGCTAATCCTCCGCCTGCAGCGCTGGCACACAGGGTTCTAGTCCTGGTCGGGGCACTGGATTCTGTCCCGGTTGCCTCTCTTCCAGGCCAGCCCTCTGCTATGGCCTGGGAGTGCAGTGGAGGATGGCCCAAGTCTTAGGGCCCTGCACCCGCATGGGAGACCAGAAGCACCTGGCTCCTGGCTTCCGATCAGCACCATGCAGCGCGCCGGCCGCGGCGGCCATTGGAGGGTGAACCAACGGCAAAAGGAAGACCTTTCTCACTGTCCACTCTGCCTGTCCAAAAAAAAAAAAATGCATGTTTTCTTTGTGTTCTTTGTTAGGGTTTAGGCAAACTGGATAGATTTTTAAATTCACTTTTAGTTTAGCTCACAGAAATGTTATTGAGTAGTATTTTAATGGGTTGAAGCAGAAGATTTCTAAAGTGCAATGAATAGGAAAAACAGTAATTTTGTATTTGCTGCTCTGAAGGTTTGAAGATGAGATTTTATGTGAGATGTGCTACTTATTGGTAAGAAATAGAGTGATGTGTGTGTATTTTGTGACTCCAAACACAGTTAAATTTCCTTCTGTGTTTTGAAAGTTGCTTTTACTCTGAATTTCCTACTCAACACTCACCAGATAATTTTTTTTTCTAGAATGGTGAGGTTCTGGAGAATTGATGAAGATCTTCCAGTACAAGTGGCCCCTTTGAGCAATGGTCTTTGCTGTGCCTTTTCTACTGATGGTAGTGTTTTAGCTGCTGGGTAAATATGTTTTTCTCTTTTCTTTAAGGGGCAATTTAAGGTGACTTTCAGGCAAAGCAGCCAGTAAGTCCCTCAGAAATGCTCTTTATAATTCTGATAGCTTGTCATAGAGTATATCATTAGTTCTTTGGTGTTAATGTGGAGTTTGTGACTCTAATACACAACCTTTGGTGATAGTTGTTTCAGCTGTGGGGCTGTCCTTGAGTGGCTGACCTTGTGCTTTTTATGTTTCTGTTTAGCACTCAGGATGGAAGTGTGTATTTCTGGGCCACTCCAAGGCAAGTCCCTAGCCTTCAACATCTGTGTCGCATGTCAATCCGAAGAGTGATGCCCACCCAAGAAGTGCAGGAACTGCCCATTCCTTCCAAAGTCTTGGAGTTTCTCTCCTATCGTATTTAGGAGACTCTGCCTTCCCTAGTACCAGGGACAAACAGAGTACCCTTAACACAAACCTCAGCTTTACTTCAGTTTTATTTTTTAAAGATTTCAGAGATTTATTTAATTTGATGCATTCATGTATTGCATTTTTATCAGTGTAGCTTTTAAAATATTATTTATAGTCTGTAGAAGAAGTATTTCTGAACATATCAAATGTAATTTTTTAAGGTCTAACTGTGAAAACTTATACATACATGTATATATTTAGATATAAGCTACTATGAGTTAAGTGGACTCTGGCTTTTCTCATTTTTAGTTCTGATGTGTATATAGTACTTCAGTAGAGCCACACTATAAGTCTTTGCTGTAAAGGGGAAGGAAGTGTTTTGGTCTGGAACAATGAGTTGGAAGGTAAATATGGACTGAAGAAGGCAGAATTGCCTCATAGAAAATGTATCTGTTGTGGGTGTTGCATGTCTGGCTGATCTGCGAGTGAAGGTTCTGTGTAGGAAAAGATTTTGTTTTTCTTAGGAATGGCGACTGAGTTTGACTATGACGTTGTGTTTTGACAAACAGAGCCAAGAGATAACCAGAAAAGGGGTGCCCTCCTCCAGCCCCCAGTACTGCAGTGGGCTCAATTTTGGAAAGCAGCTTGCCACTTGACCCCTGTGGTATAAAGTATTACACATTTTAGTCCATTTGAAAAGTCCATCTACTGTATTATTACTCAATATTTTGTTTTTGCTAAGGGACAATTATTTTAAAGCCATGGTGTTGTTGTTGTTGTTGTTGATGATGATTTGTCTACATCGCTGCAGAGGATGATGTTGGTGACTTGCCAGAGAGCAGTGCAGTCTGTCTGCTGTGGCTTCTGTTACTTATCTTGCCTGCGGATACCAGGGATGTATGTGTATGTGAAATGCTTGATTATATATTTTTGTTGAGTTTTTAAAATAAAGTCTTGTAAAAAAAACCAACATGTTTCACGTATTTCAAATGTTTTTAAAAATATGTTAGAATGTTTGGTGCTTTTTATCTGTCTCTGTTTTTTTTATTATAAGTTACAGGGTTTTTTTGTTTGTTTGCTTTTTTGTTTTAATTTATTTTAAAGTCAGAGTTACAGAGTGTGAGGGGTGGGAAAGAGACAGATCTTCCATCTGCTGATTTTTCATTCCCCAAATGGCCTCAATGGTCAGGGTTGGACCAGACTGAGGCCAGGAGCTTCCTCTGAGTCTCCAACTTGTGTGCAGGGGCCCAAGCACTTGGGTCATCCTTCACTGCTTTCCCAGGCACATTAGCAGGGAAGTGGATTGGAAGTGGAGCAGCCAGGATCAAACAGGCGCCCTATTGGATGCTGGCATCGGAGGTGACGGCCTCACCTGCTTTACCACTGGCCCCCTCTCTCCATTATAAGATATAGAACAGCACAAGCAGATTGAAGAAATGAAAAGTTGATGGAGAAATAGTGTAAGACTGGGTAGGATGCTGTTTTAGAGTTAGCTCAGTGTTTCGTGTGTACAGCAACGTTTGCATTTGTTCTAGGAGAACTGTTGTAGTGATGCTTATTTTAAAAGCATAGAAAAAGGAAAATAACTTAAGGAAAAGAAAAATACAGTTTTTTAGCAGAACTGCTAAGCTTATAAGAAGCCTACTGAATTCAAGTAGGTACAGGTTTTGGTCTGGCGCTGTGTGCAGCACAGGCATCCCATAGGGGCGCCAGTGCAAGTCTCAGCTACTCCACTTCTGATCCAGCTCCCTACTAATGTGCGTGGGAAAACAGAGGAAGGTGGCCCAAGTCCTTGGGCCCCTATGCCACATGGGAGCCCCAGAAGACACTGGCCACTGCCTGGCCCAATCCTGGTAGTTGTGGCCATTTGGGGAATTAACCAGGAGATGGAAGATCACTCTTTGTCTCTTCTCTCTGTTAACTCTGACTTTAAAATACATAAATAGGGGCTGGCGCTGTGATGTAGCAGGTGGAGCACCGCCTGTGGCACTGGCATCCCATATGTGTGCCTGTTCAAGACCTGGCTGCTCCACTTCCCATCCAGCTCTCTGCTATGGCCTGGGAAAGCAGTAGAATATGGCTCAAGTCCTTGGGCCCCTGTACCCGCATGGGAGACCCAGAAGAAGCTCCTGGCTTCAAATTGGCCCAGCTCTAACCCTTGTAGTCATTTGGGGAGTGAACCAGTGAATGGAAGACCCCTCTCTGTAACTCCCCTTTTCAAATAAATAAATCTTTGAAAAGAAAAAAATAGGTACAGATTGAGCATCCTTAATCCAAAAGTCCAAAATCTGAAATCTAAAACTTTTTGACAGTCAAAGTTTTTGTCTTTTGCACTATTTCAGATTTCAGATTAGGGAAATTCAGTTGGTAAACAAATACAAAAAACTGCAAAATCTGAAACACTTCTGGTCCCAAGAATTTGTTATTAATGATACTTAACGTCTATAAAGAAATTCTAATGGTCTGGGTCAGTATGTGGTCTTGAAGACTTGATTATTTCTACTGAGAAGTTATTTGGAAGTTCTTAACAATTGATTCTATTAAGAGATTTCAAAGTGTATGTGGGTGCAAGTTACAAATTTGCAAGCCAGTAGAAAATCTGCCCGAGTCACTTCTTGAGGATCGTTATTACAAAAAGCATCTTTAAACCTCTTGGATTTTGTTTTGGTTTTGCATTTTGCTTTGTAATTGTATGGTAAGGTCACATTAGTCTTTCCACACCATTAAATTATTTATTCTCTGCACCGACACACTGCAGTCAGGTAAAAGCGACATTTTGGGAAGGTAACATTCTCCTTTTGAGAGGTCCACAATCATTTGCTACCTCCTGTGCATGAAAGGAAGATTGCAGAATGTAGCCACCTGGAAACAGGCTTGACTTGCACATTTCTCTCTGAGGGTAAAGGAAACAGCAGGATTTGTAAGTTAGAGAGAGAAGGAGAGGCAAAGAGGTCGGTCGGCCTTCCATCCATTGGTTCACTCTCCAGATGGCTGAAACAGCCGGAGCTGTGCCAATCTGAAGCCAGGAGCCAGGAGCTTCCTCCGGATCTTCCCTTGCAGGTGCAGGGGCCCGAGAATTTGGGCCATCTTCTGCTTTCCCAGACCATAGCAGAGAGCTGTATTGGAAGTGGAGCAGACAGGTCTTGAACCGGCGCGCATGTGGGATGCCGGCACTACAGGCAGCAGCTTTACCCCTTATGCCACAGTGCGGGCCCCAAGAGAAGTTTCAAGAGATCATTTATTTTCAGATTTGGTTTTCTGTTTTAGTGCCCCATAGGGATGCATGTGAATGCAGGAAAATGTCTCTCACACTACACTCAGCAGCCAGGCCCTCCTTTCACAATAATGAAATCACTTGTAACTCAATCTTACGTTAGTAAATCTTAACTTTATAATCTTTGAAATTCCCTGCCTGGTCCTGATGAAATTCAATTCAGCTGGTTTGTACACCACCCTCAGGGCTGCAAGACCAAAAAAGGCTGAGCGCTGTAGCAGGCTCCTGCTTTGAGGCAGTAGCAGAAGCAGAGAACTTGGCTGTCAGCCAGGCAGCACAAGGATGAGAAAATATAGTGCATGAGAAGTTAAACATTGTTACCCAGAAACCACCGAGACAGTGAATCCACCCACAGATTAATAAGAAGGCAGGTTTGTAGGTGACAGCATTTTATGCAAGTAATTCTGACCAGGCTCTGATCCGAGACATGCATGTAAGTGTAGAATACATAGATTATAAGACAACTACAGGTTGCACTGCTGGCATCCCATATCTGAGTGGTGGTTTGACTCCCCAGCTGCTCCAGCTCCTGGCTAATGTTCTTGGGAAAGCAGCAGATGATGGCCCAAGTACTTGGGCCCCTGCCACCCATGGGAGAGACCCAGGTGGAGCTCCTGGCTTTGACCTGTGGTAGCCTTGGCCATTGTGGCCGTTTGGGGAGTGAACCAGTGAATGGAAAATCTCTTGTGTCACTCTGCCTTTTGAATAAGTAAATAAATCTTACAACACAACTACAATAGAGTAGTTACTATTGTATGTTGATGATAAAGTCATGGGTAAAGCACCAGTGGAAGAATACTGAGAGCTTTGCTTTTAAATACTTTCTCAGCAAACAATAAAATGCATCCTGGAAAAATGGTTGTTGTAGCCTTATGTTTATGGTTAAGATGTTTGGAAGGATCTCTCCCTGTCTCTCCCTCTCTCTGTAACTCTGCCTTTCAAACAAATAAAAAAAAAATGGAATGAACATCAATAGGCACTTTTTTTTTTTTAAAGACAGCTCCCATCCACTAGTTCACTGTCCAAATACCCATGAAAACTCAATCCAGGTCTCCCGCATGAGTGACAGGGACCTGGTTACTCAAGCCACTACCTGCTGCCTCACAGGGCCTGCATTATCAGGAGGTTGGAGTCAGGAGCCAGAGAACCCAGGTGCTCTGATGTGGGATGTGTGCCTGAAGGTCAGCTTCTACTTGGTAAACAGTTTTTTAGGATTTATTTTATTTGAAAGGCTCAGAGAGCTTCCATCTGTGGTTCACTCCCCAAAAGACTACAAAAGCCAGGCTGAAACCAGAGGCCAGAAACTCCATCCACATCTCATGTGGGTGGCAGGGGCCCAAGAACCTGGGCCATCTTCCTAGGCGTATTAGCAGAAACTGGAGCAGCCAGAACTCCACTGGGCAATCAACCTGCTTTTTGCTTTGTAATGCTTCCCTTTAGCCAAAAGCAGAAACTGGTTAGAACCAGGTATAAAGTGACCTGTTTCTCTTAACAGTGATTGGATAGCTTTATGTGGTTGTCTCTCGGCATTTATTTAAGTTTATTTTCATAGTTGAAGAATCAGAAAAAATTGGGTGGTGCTGGAATTGGGGAAGGAAACATGATGTAATTGATTTTTTATTAATCCCAGCATTATTTTCTCAGGGACTAGAAAGAAGTCTGACACTCATGTTTCTCTTTTAGAAAGTATGCTGGAAATCAGGCACTTTCTCCATCTTAAATATCTTACAAGTTGCTCTTCTGGTCTGAAAGTAAGCCCTGAGATTTGTTAAGAAAACCTGTAGTACAGTGTGGCCTCTCCCCGTCATTGTAGTGTTTTGTTCTGTTTTAAATGGGGCTGGAGCACCAATGACTTCAAAAATTGTTCTCTAAAAATAAAGTGAACTATAGACAGCATTTGGTGGAGGTTGGTTGGGAAGTGAGAGGCGTGGCTTCTCCAATCTTCTCTGTTTTTCAATTGTTGCTTAGTAAAATAGTTTTTTTTTTTTTTTTTTTACAAAACAGAATAAGGATGGTGAGTATAGGAATATAGGGAAAGACAGTATAAAAGAGCCAAGGAGGCTAATAGAAAACGCAAACCACGAAGCATACGTTTGTGCTGGCTCCAGACTGACGCGAGGTGGGCAGCGGTATATGTTGTGTGACTCGGTGGCCGTCTCCTAGCCATTGCTGGGAGGCAGGTATGTGTCTGTAAGCCCCCTGCACACAGCTCCCCTCTTCTATGTGTTCCCCACCCGCCTCTCCACCTCTGAGACCTCCAACAGGATTCGGCAGCAATTCCCTAGGGTTCAGGTTCTCTCCAGGGTAATACCAGTGGTGCTCGGAGGAGAAACAGCAGGTGTTACCGTGAGGCCAGCTGTGTTGCAAGGCTCTGCTGTCTCCCAGGAACCAGGACCAGGAAGTCCCAAGCCAGGGTGTCCCCCTCTTCCCTCACGACACACCCAATTCTTAGAGGCATTTGTGCTTGCGACCTGTTAACAAAACAGCTGCTTTTTTGGTGGTCACAAACAAGCCATGGCAGCCCACACTAGTCTCGGCCCCCGCCGGAACCCATCAGAGCCGTCCTCCTTTCCACACGGCTCCCTTGGCCTTCCAAAGACGCCCTGTGGCTAGTTACTCCCTGGTCAGCACCCGTGCACATTCCCCTGGGCTGGGGAGTTTGGGTGGGAGCCTGGTGCACACTCTTCCAGCCTGTG